GAGATCCAAACACACACACACCATTAGTGGGGAATTGGACTGGGAGTCCTAGCCAGCTAGCGTCCATGGATCTTGTTCAATTGCAAGGCCTCTGCTTAGCAAGGGAATAGATTATTTTTGAAGTTCCACAAATCTCCAACACCCCAGGCTGTAAGGAGCTCCCTCAGATACTGTCAGGGTGAAAGAATGACTGTTAATTTAAGCTCCCCAACCTCCATTCTTTGTTTTGGTTCTTATTCCCAAGAAGAGACCCAGTTCCAACCCCAAGGCCACTCCTAACTTTCCCAAGCTGCAGCAAAGTCAAGATGAACAGATCCTTTAAGGGCTTGTCTACAATTGGAAATACACTGAAATAGCTGTACCAGAATAGTTATTTTGGTATAAACTCTGGTGTGAAGACTCTTGTTCCAGAGTAAGAGTACTTTTTCCTGATTTAGCGTAATCCATTTCTAGAATAAAGATCTGCACATGGGGTTTATAGCAAAGTAACTATTTCAGAATATCTGTTCTGGTAAATTTCCAAAGGTAGACAAAACCTTAGTTTCTCTACCACACACAAAGTTTTGAATAGTAGCAATTTAACTGACAAGCATTACACTTCCCACATGAATTTACGTGATTTCTTTTTCTAGCCCACTGTTAATAGCTATAGTTGGCTCTCAGTTAAAGCGTTTAAATATACAAATCCCCAAATGGTAGGCCATATTTTGGCAGGTAAGTTATGAATACTGAAAACTGCAGTTTTTAAACAGAATTAGCCAGTTATGAAAAAACTAAGTATAAAACATGAAAAAAAACTATATTAGTACTCTGATTTAATTTAAATGAAGGCTCAAGGCTCTTATGATATGGAAAGAAAAAAATTCTCATTCCACCACAGAAACAGTGAGTAGTTTCTTAGATAAACATTTTCTCTCTCGACACAGCCTTCACTACCTGATACCTTATTAAAAAAAAACAAAACAGAAAAACCCAACAACAAAAAAATACCTCATTTACCCCAAAAGAACCAAATTTTTTACTTCTGGATTACATTATCCCTCTTTCAGACTATTAAGCATTTACAGAGGTTATGCAGTTTTCATAGGGCTGCAGAACTATACTGGTTTTGGTCATGAACTTTGACAGGACCTGCTTTAAAATCAGTTAAGTCATGTTTCTGTGAGAGTATCATACCTAGTATAGTTACTTGTAACAGGCAAAATTATCATCACTGAAAGAACTTAACAAAAAATATTTGATTCCGCCCCCCAGTTCAGGGGTGTGTGTGTGTGTACGTACACATTTAACAGCACTAGGTACATATCAAGTGTCACTGTTTCATATGTAGAGTCAGTTTCTCTGTAGCATAAAAGATGCTTAAACAGATGATCAGAAAAAGACGTTTTAAATATATTTTTAAATTTCATGATCTACTATTTAAAGAGTATCATTAAAACCTGGAAATTCTTAAAATTAGTCAATTTCAGGTTGACAACATCTCTTTAAAACCTACTGTCATTGATCAATAGACATCCACATTTATTATATTTGGATAAATGCTGGACTGGCTGACAACTTATACTTATGGACATAAACTGACCATCAACTTGGGTGAGAATCCCCACACAGAAAAATAGTGTTCAGGTGACCAAATATATAATGTCCAGCCATGAGGAAGTTCGTGTGGAAGATTGTTTTTTTATGAGAGTATCCATTTTTGAGAGCTCATTCTTTATCTTTCCCTGTTTGCTATAGAGGATGTTGATCAGGTGGTTCCGCAGTTTCTTTGAGAGCGGTGGCACAAGCTGTCAGCATAGTCTGTGTGGTATACAGATTGTAATGGATTTTTACCTTCAGTCCTTTTGGTACGATGTCTATCTGTTTGCTGGAAAGGAAGATGTCTGTCTATAGCTGTACAAGCTTTTTCATGCAGTTGATAGATTTCCACTCCATACGGCTAAATGCAGTGCCTTGCATAATGACAGGTTTCAGAGTAACAGCCGTGTTAGTCTGTATTCGCAAAAAGAAAAGGAGTACTTGTGGCACCTTAGAGACTAGCAAATCTATTTGAGCATAAGCTTTCGTCTGTATTCCAAAAGAAAGAGTACTTGTGGCACCTTAGAGACTAGCAAATCTATTTGAGCATAAGCTTTCGTAAAGCTTATGCTCAAATAGATTTGCTAGTCTCTAAGGTGCCACAAGTACTCCTTTTCTTTTTGCGAATACAGACTAACACGGCTGTTACTCTGAAACCAAATATATAATGAAGACTGGCAATGGGGCAGGAAGCCCATGCTAGTCTTCCTTTAGAGGTGCAGAGCATGGACATATGATCTAGAGGCTTACTTCTATATAGCAAGCCTATTTTTCAGAAGATGAATACATTCTTCTGTCACTTCCTTCCAGAGATTACAGGAAATATTGGACTTCTCATAAGAAAACAGGCACAACAGAATGAGACTCATATGGTCACATTCTTTACATTCCATCACTTGCTTTTATTTTTCCATTTATGTCACCATCATTAACCCAAATCATACCCTATGTCCTACTGCAGGTACAACACCTAACATATCTGTTGTTGGTACCTAAAAACCCAGCATATTTGGGTAACTGACTCTGAACTTTACCCAAAGAATAATACAATTAGATAATTCCTTTGATCATATGCTTACGGATGAAAATTGCAAAATAATGCTAATATTTTTGCCCATAGTTTATCCAAAAATACTTAGTTTGTGCTTTATTGAAACCCTAAAAATATATGCAATATTGACTTTAAATTCTTACATACAACTCACACATTTTTAATTTAAAAATGTTTTAAGTGCTGCTGCTATGGCTACTATTTGAGTGATAACTTCTTATGAGATCATGATTTATATCATCTATAAACAGCAAAATCTAAGGATGGGTACCCAACACAAAGGAAGATGTGGCTGGGAAAAGAGGAGCATTAGCATAGTAAGGAATAGATTCACAGGATGCAGCAGTACTGGAGCTAAGAAACAATACCATTCAATATGAAGCATTAAAATCTATAAGCATGGAAGGAGAGGCATCATAAACAACGCTCAGATCAGAATTCCTCAGAAAGATAATACAAAGAACCAGAAGAGAACGCATTTTAACATGACTACTCAAAAGTCTGTTTTTTAAACCTATAACCCACCTTTTCTTTCAAACAAAACAAAGAAAATGCACCAAAAAATGGGCATATAAAATCAGCTGACGTTTGAGAGGAAGCATGAACAATAATCTTAAAAAATAAAGAAAAAGGAGAATGAGTTAATGCTAGCCAGACTGGTTACAGGGAATAAGAAGTGTTTAAAAACATACCTGAGAGAAGAGCAACCAAACAACTAATAAGCTTCAGGAAATAAATGATTAAAAAAAATAATTTAACTAAGAAAAATAAACAGATGGACAATAAGAAAATAGACCTCACAGAAATAATTTATTACAAAAACAGCTCAGGCAAGCGCTGCAGGCCCTGCACCACTTGGCACACAACTTCATCCCCATGAAATGAAGCATCTCAGATCTTGACAGAAAAATGGGCTACTACACAGGAGAGCTGAGTGAATAAATACCAACAACCTCAAGCGGAAAGGAGCTACCTGTGAATTTGATGATAAAAAAAAAAAAGTATCTAATTTTTCAGATTGGCAGACCTTTAAATAGCAATTTTTGTTAAAAGTGCAGATAAGTGAGTTAAATGAAAATCACCTTAAAAGGTATACACACTAGAATACCTGGACTTTGAAGACCACTCAGAAGCTTCAGCTAATGTTCAGTTTTGCCACACACCTTCTGATTAGGGTAAGCTACCAAGAGTATATAAACACCTGTGCTTTACATACTGTATTCAATACCAATTCTATCGTGGATTAAATTCAAGGTACTTGTTACTTGAAAAAACCTTAAACTGACAAAACCTTAAACTGAATAAAATCCAGTTATCACATATGCACCAGTACGTAATCTGTTTTTATCAAAATACTTTGTCTGGTCCAAAGATGATGTGCACAGAAGGACAGCATTCTCAACAGGAGGCCCTCACCTCTGAAATTAGGTCTTATTGGATACATGTCCACGTCTGGTTGCCTTTACTGACCAATATGAGATCTGTCTCTGTCTAAGCTTTCCCAACCAAGTTCTGGAACCTCTTGGCACTGAGCCTATGGCTTGGTTTTCCACTACTCCATCTTTGCCCTTCAAGGTTGGCTAGACTGGTGTTACTAGTAAAGGAGGGAAGATGCAATATAACCTATTTATTCTAAATAAACATTTAAATTTGAAGTGCACCCAGATGCCATCGTGATGGGCACCTTAAACACTTTCAGAGGAAAACAACACCTAGAAGCCCATAATGGGGAAATATACCTAATGAGAACAGACTGTAAAACTGGGTATGAATTGGAAAAGTGACTTGGTAGAAAAAACAAACAATAAAAGCCATCACTATTTTAGGTTGCACAGAGACAGTCACTATCATCAAGTAAAAGATGAGCTACCTAATAAAAGTACAACTAGATACTATGCTGAAAAAAAATGCTATTACAGAGCTCATTGAAGAGCAATAAAAGTTATTAGGGAACTGGAAAAGACAGTTAATGAAACACTAAACAACAGCTTAACTGAGTAACACCTATTCTGGGAAACATGACGGACTACCACTCTGAAGGATGCAAAAAACCAAGAAAGGTAGATTTACGGTAGACCACAGATCTAAAACTTCACTTTGGAAAGACTTCTTAATAGGGAATGTTCCCAGGTTACAGAAGTCCCATCCCTGGAAACGTTTAAAGCTAAGCTGCACAAGAGCAACCCTATACTAGTCTCTGCAAACATGGGCTACTCTAGAAGGTGCCATCTGCCCGTCCGCGTCCCCACCCCAGCATACGCTAACATGTGGCCAGTCACCGGGAGCGCCGCAGCAGCAGTAGGTACAACACTGACTGCGGAGCGGGGCCTGCCTGGCCGCGACGGGCCGGGGAGCGCAGCGGGGCGGGTACCTCATGCTGTAGGCGCTGGCTCCCAGCTCCTGCCCAATGCCGGAGAGGCTGGCATCGAAGTCGTGCGCCAGCCCGGACTCGATCACTTCATCCATCTTCAGCACCCACGCCATCTTCCGCCGCTCGGCGCGGCCGGAGGGGAGGAGCAGACCCACCGCCGCTGTTACTCCTGTGGGAGGCGGTGACTCGGCGGGGGCGGGTAGGGCCCGGGGGAGGCGCCGAGAGCCCGGGAGAGGAAGGGGAGAGTCCGCGTTCAGCCCCGCGGGGGCCCTTTCCCCGCGGCAGCAGCACCAGGGCGCGGAGCCGCTCTCAGCATCCTGCGCTCGCCCGGCCGCCGCGAGGGGCCCAAAGCCCAGCGGCCTCGGCCCGGACACAGCAAGGGGCCGCCGCCGGCCGAGCTCCGACCCAGCCCAGCGGCTGGTGCCGCATCGTTCACGGGAGAAGAGGCAGCAGCACCGCCCCCCGCCCGGGGACCCGCCGCCGGCTACAGCCCTTGCGGGGACCCGGCCCCGCTGCCGCTGTCCCCGCGTCCCGGGCCGGGCTCCGAGAGGCGGCCCTGCTCCCTGTCAGGCGCTCGGGGGACTGGGCTCTTCTGGGGTCTCCGCTCCAGCGCGGCTACAGAACCTATACTAACATGGCGGTTGGCTACTTCCCCTTCCCCGTTCAGGTCCCCGGGCGGGGCTTAGCCATAGCGAGAGGGAAGATTGGCTGGAGCTTGTTGGCGGGCAGCAGGACTGTCCAATTGGGACCTCCAAGAAAGGCAAAGTAGACGGTAGCCAATCAAAAGGCAGTGCCCCACGCCTCGCGATAAGCCTTCGGGGCGTGCAGGGAACTGTTGTCGCCATGGTGACCAGTATTACAGCCCGCCCTCATTGACGACGCTGATTTGTGACGTATATGCACGGACAGCGCTTGCGTTAACCCTGCCCTCGCTATTGCTTGGAGCCTAAGACTGACCGCTGCAGAAACCAATCCATGCTGGAAAAGAAACGGGCGGCAGTAGGGCGACGTGCAAAGGAAGCTCCGCAGAGCAGCTTGGGTAAGTCATTGCGTGGGGCAGGGCCTGGCAAGCAGGGCGCCTGTGGGCTACAGCAAGGGTGGGGCTGAGAGAGCGTCCAGTTCAGTGCACGGGGGAGGCAGCGTGTCATTCTCCCCCTCCCCCCCCCATTAGGGAGCGCTGTGCCTTGGGTCTGGTGCAGGGATGTGCCTCCTCCTCATCTCCCCTAGGATGACCAAAGACCCGGGCGGGCGGCTAGGCGGGCAATAGGCACCTAAAAAGACAAAGCACCAAATATTGAACTGTCCCTGTAAAATCAGAACATCTGGGCATCTTCATCTCCTGCAATGGTCAGCTAGGTACAGGCAGCTGTTAGCCACTCTAGAATAAAAAGTGTAAACAGTGTTTTATATATATAAATAAAAGGAAGCAAATTAACAATAAGAAACAAATGCTTATTTAGAGCTAGGTCAGCTCACTTACGTATTAGTTTACTGAAAACCACTGACAGCCTACTGCTGAGGTACTACTAAAATATACTGGATAAAATACTATTCAAAAATCAAGAGAAAGGGTAGTTCTAAAGCCAACTAATACATAAGCTGTAAAAAGAAGCTGAACTGACAGCAAGCCTTTGGAGAGCTTTGGAATATTGTGCTGGGTTTAAGGAATGACTTCTAAAAATAGTAAGGATAGAGAAACATGGCAAAAGAGGTAGGAATGTTAAAATATCACAGTATACTGAAGTCATGAGGCCTTACACAGATACCAGATTCAGAATCCTTGAAGAGAACAGAAATAAAACAGAAAATGCAAATTTTTATCGAGGGAGAGAGGTTGTGATGGCTTGGGATACAATATTCATTTTCCAGATAACTCTGTAAACGTGTGTTCGTCTAGAAAGAAAAAATATATATAATTACATTAAGGCTCTCCTTTTCCCTCAGGTGGAACGGTATAGATCCCAAACCCAAAATAAGGTTTCTCTTGATTGTAATAACTAGAGCCATCTACAAAGAAATGATACCTTTTGAAGGAATCTTTCTACTGAATCAATGGTAGAAAACGCTTCCTTTTCGCCTTCCCCCTTAAACTCAATTGGTCAGTATCCAGACATACGTGGCTGTCCTTGGTGCAGAAGGTCAGTTGGTAACACCTATGGTGTTCTAACAGGGAGTGTGTGATGAGTGTAATAGGATTGGGCTGAGGTTAATCAGGAAAGAAAAATGTTGTATGACCCAATTAGTGGCCAGTAAGTAACTTTTCACAATTGTCATATTGAGCTCTACTAGTGACATTAAATGTGAGGCATAGGCCACAGGTCTGATTTTCCCATGCCTCTCTTGTGAAGCCACAACTGCCAACCCATTAACATTCACCGCCAGCTCCAGCTGATAAAGTGTGAGGATTTGGAGTGATCAACACTGGAGCCATAACAATGGCCTGTTTCAACGGGGACACTGCTTCTGTGCATTGCTCAGTCCATTCCCATTGAACACACTTCTGTAGCACTTGGTACAAGGTACCTAAGTGGAAGCAAAATTGGGAATGAAATCTCTGTGGTACCCAGTCAAACCCAGAAAGGATCTTAAAGCCACTGGATCCTTCAGTTGAGGCAATTTTTGGATTGTGTCCACTTTCTGTTGCACTAAGGTTCTACCCCATTTTGTCAGGGTGAGACCTAAGAAAGAGACACGAGAGGCCACTAACTGTGCCTTAGCAGGATTGCACTTCAAGCCTACTTTCTTTATGATCTGCAGGAGCTCCTCAAGCCTTTCAAGATACTACTTCTTGGGATGGGTCACTAGACAGAATCTACGTACTAGAATAGAACCATTATTGGTTTAGAAAATTGTGACAGTACCTGCCTAATTTGAGCATGAAATAACGCAGGGGAATTTTTGTACCCCTGGTATAAATGGTTCCAGGAATATTGGACCCCCTGAAAACTAAACACAAACCAGTACTAGGAAACGTTGGCCAGTATAACATCCAAAAGTTATTGCTGATGTTGAGAAAAGTAAACGCTGTGGCCTCTGGATCAAAGGACTTAATGAGATCTGGCAGCTTGCCCACCGTAGGGGCACAAGTAGGTGACCTGATTTAGGCATCCCTAATCAATGGTTAGATGCCAGGAACCATCTGGTTTCTTAACAGGCCAAATAGGGGAATTGGCAGAGTAAGTACATAGATGTAGAACTTGCTGGGTCAGAAAGGACTTAATAGTCTTGTCTATGTATCGTTGGCTTGATCTGGGTAAAGATATTGTTTTGGGACTGGTACATTTCCTCCTTCCACAACAATAATGACGGTCATACATCCACAGTCAAGTTTGTGTTTGGCAAAGGCATCCGCATGCTTGAAAAGTAAAGTCTGTAACTCGAGTTGGTCTACATGCTCTGCCACTATTTTGTTCAAGTTATATCTCTATGGTTCCAGTTCCTCTGCTAGAGGCATCTTGCCACATTCAGGCATGATCACCGGCGGATAATTCATTGCCGACTCTGTAGTATGACACAAGAGAAAGTTACTTACCTCATGCAGTAACAATGGTTCTTTGAGATGTGTCCTCCTTAGGAAGCGCCACAGTAGATTTTAGGTAGCAGTGTCCCTTCAGCCCACTCGTGTTCTCCTCTCTCATGATCTGCCTTGAGGCTATCTAGCAGTGCACAGGCAAACCCCCCTCAGTTCCTTCTCTACTGCAAAACCCCTTATGGAGAACTCTGAAGTAGAGGGGAGTAGGACAGGTTGTGGAGCACCCATAGGGGGACATCTCTAAGAACCATTATTACTACACAAGGTAAATTCCTCTTCTTCAAGTAGTATCCCTATGGGTGCTTTACTATAGGTGATTTCACAGCAGTATTACCCATGGAGGGCTGGGGCTTGGGAGTGGAGTCTGTTACTAGAGAGAGTACTAGGGAGCCAAAGATGACATCAGAGGCCGAATCTCCAGTGATCGCATAATGTTCTGCGAAAGTGTGGGCAGAGGCCCACGTCGCTGCTCTGCAGATTTCCAAGATAGGGACAGGTTTAAGGAGTGCAACAGAAGTAGAAATTAACCTTGTGCAATGTGTACAGATTCCAGATGGAGGCAACAGGTTTGTGCCCTTCATAACACTGATTAATGCAAACTGAGACTGACACGCTCTGTACCTTGGGGGAACACCAAACACCCCCGTGTTCATCCTTATAATATGATTGTGTAGTATTCAATGCAAAGTTTGTCATGTCGGGTGTCTTCGGAAGGCTCATAATGCACTGAGCATTGTTGTCATAGTAATAGTTGTTATAGTAATGTTATAGGTTGTAATTTCATGTATATAATTATGAGGCTGAAAATGTGTCCTCATGGCTTAAAGCAAGCCCAAGCAAAAACTCTCCAAGAGCAGAGGGGAAGTTCACACCTCATCAGGGCATGTATGGGACAAACCCAGTCCAGCCTCAGAGAAACAAAGGATCTGTTGGGCTCTCAAGTGAGTCACCCCCCTCCCTTTCGTCAGTTTGGGGCTGCGATGAGGTAATGCTCACCTGACTCTGAAGGGGGGGCAAAGCCAAGAGGGAAGAAAGGACATGATAAAAGGGAGAGACATTTGCCATGCTCTTCCTCTCTCTCCCACCTCCATCTACAGACATCACGACCAAAGCGATTGAAGCACTGATCAAACCAGCCAGCCCTTCAGACAGGTTGTGAGAAACATCTTTAAGTTTGTAAAGGGCACTGAAAGTGTTGAGATCAGCTTAGAATGCTGATCTGACCAAATCTGACTCGTTGGGCTTTAACTTATAATCACTTAAGATCTATCTTTTTACTAAATAAATTTGTTTATTCTACCTGAAGCAGTGCTTTTGGTTTGAGGAGTGTCAGAGACTTGCAGTGTCCATAACAAGCCTGGTATATATTAATTTCTTTGTTAAATTGACAAACTAATATAAGCTTGAGGCAACACCACCTCAGGAAGGGACGGGGGTGTAATGTCTGCCAGGGAGGGAAGTGTCCAGGTTGTTGGCTGCCCGCAGGTCACAGCTGAACTGGAGACAAACCCAGCTCTAGGGAGCATAGAGAAATGTGTCCCAGAGGAGAACCCAGAGAAGAGGCAGGGGATCTCAGAAATAACTGAGGTGGGTGAGGATTCCTGCGACTCTGTACCACAGGGAAGCAGTGTGCTTCCAAGTATGGGAGGGGCTGAGACCAGCTTCTTTCTAGCAGAAGCCAACGTGCCCTTAGGCGCAGGGGCAGGAGAGGTGTTGTCAGTGATTAAGGAAACTGTCCCAGTTCTTAGCTGGCAGAGTTTTGCAGATGAACAAGAGACAGAACCCTTCCAAGGGAGCACAGAGAAATGTGTCTTAGGAGGTGGCCCAGAGGAGGAAACTGTGGAAGGAATAATGGGGGTACAGGAATGTCTCCTCACTAGTCACTTGGGGCAGGATGCCCAGGACACTGGGAGGATGGCTGAGTCAGCATCTGTGCACCCAGGCACTCAGCCTGTGACCCAAGTTTTGAGAAAGAACTGCGTAACAAGCCTGCTACGTATCAATTTCTTTGTTAAATTTACGATCTAATATAAACTTGCAGAGTCCAGCAGGCATAACTGGACACTGCAAGACGGAGGTTCCTAAGGTTGTGTCTGGGACCGGAGATATCGGCTAGTGTCTTTCGGTTGCAAGTAGCTGGGAGCAGTTTACATGCCAGAGGCTGTGCGTGAACAGCCCAGCAGTGGGGGTTCTCAAAGCAGAGTAGGGTAAGGCTGGCTTCCAGAGTTGAGGATTGGCATGACCTAGCAGATCACCGGTCCAGATAACAGCAGAGGGGAACGTCACAGAGACCCATTTGGATAGTTTTTGAGCTGATATTGCAGAGCTTTTGGATCTTTCTGTGAACAAAAGGAAGAGTTATGGGGACTTCCTGAAGTTCTTAGTCCTGTCCACGTAGAATGCTAGTGCTCTTCTAACATCTAGCATATGCAGAATTGCCTCCCTGTTGTCATGATGTGGCTTTAGGGGGAAAAAACAGGAAGATGCTTCTCTTGATTCATATAGAAAGTGGAGGCAACTTTAGGGAGAAACTTGGGATGCAGCCTCGGTTACTTTTTCTTTAAAAAAGACCATGTATGGTGGGTGTGCCATTAGGGCCCCCATTTTTCCTATGCACCTATCTGAGGTGATGGCAATTAGAAATGCTGTCTTAACAGACAGGTGTAAGAGAGAGAAAGTTGCCATGGGCTCAAACGGAGGTCTAGTCAAAACTCTGAGAACTAGGTTAAGATCATAGGTTGGAGCAGGTGGTCTCACGTGCAGGAAGAGATTTCCAATGCCCTTAAGGAATCTACGCATCAGCGGGTAAGCGAACAACAGAGTATCCGTCTATCTGATGGTGGAAAGCCATTACGGCCACAAGATGTACTGTAAAGGTGCTGAGTGAGTTCTGACCTTTTGAGGTCTAAAATGTAGTGTAAAGTAAGAGGGAGGGAAGATGAGGTTGGATGCTTAGAATGACACCAAACTTTTAATCATTCCCATTTTTGTAGATAAGTACATCAGTGATCAACTTTAGTCTGTACAGCAACACGTCTTTCTCCTCATCAGAGCATTCTATCTCTAAGTCTTGGAACAAAGAAGGAGCCAGGCTTACAGATGGAGGATGCAGACAGGGGTGAAGGATCAGCCCATCACTTTGAAAGTGCATGTCGGGAATGTGCCAAAGAGGAACCAGAGGACATATTGCTATCTGTGTCAGTTAAAGGAACCAGACATGTCTTGGCCAGAAGGGGGCTATCAGAATAACTCTCACTTTGGTTCGTCAAATTTTCAACAGGATCTTGGATAGAAGAGGAAATGGAAGAAAGACACACAAGAGGTCCCTCTTCCATAGGAAGATGAGAGCGTCACCCAGTGAATGTTTCCCCAGGCTGGCCCTGGAACAGTAATGAGGACATTTCTTGTTCCGGTAAATAGCAAAGAGATCTGTAGTTGGGGTTCCCCAAATGGCAAATATGTCTTGAAGCACCTCTGAGTTCAGTTCGTATTTGTAGTCATGAGAAAAGTTCCAACTGAGACTGTTGGCTGTCATCTTCTGTATTCCTAGTAGACAGACAGCTGAGATGAGCACATTGCGATGGTTGCACCAATTCCAAAGTTTGAATACTTCTTTGCAGAGGGAAGGACATCAGGCACCTAAGTTCCCTCTAAGCTGTGCAGCCGGCAATCAAGGGCCGCACAGGTGGGGAGAGGCGCCGCTCCCCCGGCCCCAGGCTGCTGCAGCAAGAGAGGGCTGGGGGGAGTCCTCTCTCCCTGCCACAGCCCTGGGGCAGCCTGCACCCCAAACCTCTCATCCCTGGACTCCCCAGCCAGAACCCTCACCCCCCATGCCCCTGCACCCTAACCCTCTGCCCCAGTCCTGAGCCCCATCCCACACCCTGAACCCCTCATCCCTGGCCCCACCCCAGAGCCTTCATCCCCAGCCAGAGCCCCCTCCCGCATCCCAAACCCGTGCCCCAGCCCTGAGCCCTCACCTGCTGCACCCCAAACCCGTGCCCCAGCCCCCTCCCGCACCCCAAACCCGTGCCCCAGCCGAGACTACACCCCCAGCCAGAGCCCTCATCCCCCCACATCCCAACCCTCTGCCCCAGCCCTGAGCCCCCTCCTGCTCCCCAAACCCCTCAGCCCCAACACCGCCACACATTACCTCCATATCTGTGTACATAACAAAATTCATTCCACACATGGATGTAAAAAATTAGAGAGAACATTGTCAGGCACCCTCATGGCAATTTATATAAAACATAAAGAGCATATTATTTATCATGAACTTTGTGTGGGTGTTCTTGATGAAAGGCAGACATTGTGCAAAGATGTTTCTGATGGCCCTTAGCTCCAAAAGATTGATGTGGAGGGTTGATTTTGTGGGAGTCCACTTGCCTTGAACCTTGCAGTCGTGTAGGTCAGCTTCCCATCCTTTTAGAGAGGCATCCCTCAGAGTCCGCGTCGGTGATGGCTGCACGAATGGAACGCCTGCTCTAACATTGGATGGGTCTTTCCAGCAGTCCAGGGAGTGCCTTACTGTGGAGTGCAGTGATAGCAGTCTGGTTAGTCTGTCCCTATTTGGGGAATAGAGAGAAGTGAGCCACATCTGAACACACCTCATGAACATCCGGGCATTTGGGGTGATGAAGTTGCATGCTTCCATATGACCTAGCAGCTGCAGGCAGTTCCTGGCTGATGTTTGAGGGCCAACCTGGATGGGACTCGTAAGGGCGGTGAGTCTGTGTAGTGGGAGGAATGCTCTCACTTGTACAACGTCGAGGTCAGTTCTGATAAACTCCAGTCACTGTACTGGGGTCAGTGTTGATTTCTGTAAGTTGAGCTGTAGACCCAGCTGCGCAAATGTGTGCGTGGTCACCTGAGTGGCTCATATGGCATCCTGAGACGAGGGAGGCCTGAGGAGGCAGTCATCTAAGCACGGGAAAATCACAATGACCAATGTTTTCAGGTGTGCAGCTACAACAGAGAGAACCTTGGAGAATGCTCTGGATGCAGATGAGAGGTTGAATGGGAGCACTCTGTACTGACAATGGTCCTGCCCAAAGGTAAACCACAGGAATCTCCTGTGCTATGGTCATATCAAAATGTGGAAGTAGCCATCTTGTAGGTTGAGGGCCAAAAACCAGTCTTGCTCTAGAGCTGGAATAATGGCTGCTGCATGACCATCTTGAACTTCTGCACCTTCACATATTTGTTTAATGCTTTTAAATCTAGAATGGGCCTCCAACCTTCCTTTGCCTTGGGAATCAGGAAATAACAGGAGTAAAACCCTTTGCCCCTGAGTTGTGCAGGGACTGGTTCTATGGCCAGTAGGCATAACAGATGATCCGTTTCCTGGTGAAGTCAGTTCTTGTGAGAAGGGTCCCTGAAGAGGGATGGGGAAGGAGGGTGGAAATGGGAGAGGGACATGCATTCAGATGTACTGTGGGTTTCTCTCTTCAGGTTGCAGAAACTTGTTCCTCTCCTATCCCCACATCAATTTCAGTCCGTAAGTCCAGATATCACCAAGAGCACTACACCAAGTTGTAACTCAACATATATGAGGAGGAGTACTCAATTTTGGTAGTTAGGGCTGCAACTCTTTATCCCAAACCATAATGTATCAGTACCTCAGTACTAATAGTTTTATCCCCTCAACCTCTTGACCCCTCTCAGCAGAATTACAGCCTTACAGAAGGCACTTGTAAGCATTTACTCACTAGAGTAAACAAAGTAGTTTTCATTTCAAAATTTACACAAAAGATGGGCCAAACAGCTGTAAGCGTCGGCCTCTTGCAGGGTCTCAAGAGCCCGGATACACATCGGCTCTTGTCTTGAAAGCCAAGTGTACCACAGCTGAGGAAGTCTTGTAGGGGTGCTTAAGCAGCTAAGGCTTCATTGGCCTGAACACCTAGTGGGTCCAAATATGCCCTTCCCCAGTTGCTTTCAGGGGCTCTCTGCAGGGCTCCAGACTGTCTGCCTCTGTGACCGCCCTCTCCCAACTACCATGGAGCTCTTCCTTGCTGGTGATCCATCATCCCTTGGTCAGGAGGTCAGGGGCAGTTGCAGAATCTTGTCTGACATTAGCAGATTCACCTCATTAATTCATTATATAACTCAAACTCTTAATTCAGGGCAACAAGAGCAAGCACACACACCAGGAGCTCATTCACTATATCCTGTCAGGAGAATTTCTCATCTTGCTTTTCCCTCTATTATTCTCTTAGTTTCTTCTTTTGCTCACTCAGTCTTTATTTTTCACTTTCACTGCATTTACACTTTCCTGACTCTCCTTCTCAGGGAGGTCCTGCTGCTATCACTATACTTTAGATTTCTCACTCACCAACTGCTCAGTTCCAGATGTCATCTATGAAACCTTCTGATACCAACATTAATTTTTTCCCAACCGTTAAAGGCATGTGGCTGACACAGCTTAGGGACCCTAGTGACTCCTTGTGCATCCCTAATGGTTGGTTACCTACATGATGTATGTAGCTATGAAACTGTGATGCCTTTTGTTTTCTGTGTATTGCTAATTTAAATGTATATCCATAGACACAGACTCCGTGGGTGCTCCGGGGCTGGAGTACCAAAAGGGAAAAATTAGTGGGTGCTCTGCACCCCCTGGCAGCCAAGCTCCCCTCACCTTCAACCCCACCCCCACCTCCTCCTCCCCTGAGCGTGCCGCATCCCCGCTCCTCCGCCTACCTCCCGCTCCCAGTGTTTCCTGCCCGGCCACTGCCAAACAGCTGTTTGGCAGCATTAGCAAGGTCTGGGAGGGTGGGGAAGGAGCGGGAACGTGGCACACTTGGGGAGGAGGCAGGGCCGGGGCAGGGATTTGGGGACAGGGTTGGAATGGGGGCGGGGCAGGGGCAGGAAGAGGCGGGGCCTCATGGAAAGGGTGGAGTGGAGGCAGTGCCTGGGGAAGAGGAGGCATTGAGCACCCACGGGAAAGAGAGGAAGTTGGCGCCTATGTGTATATCATCCCCGCTCTGAGAATAGTGAGCAGCAGCCGTTTTGTTTTTTAGAGCTCAGACCAGACTTTCAAACAAGACACACTGTGGTCTTTCTCCTGGAGACTTTACTTCTGTTCTCTCACATATTGTATTTCAATGTGGCCAATTCTTGTAATGTTACTGTAATGCTTATGATACCTGGTGTGTTTCTTAAATCCTTAGCTACTCAAATTATATGATTTTAAAGAAAGCTGAGATTCTCACAAAGAAAAAATAAGTTTCTAGCCCTTGTTGTGGAGAAAAGTTTGAAAACATGAACTCTAATGGTTCAAAAGGCAAATAAAAATAACCCATTAAAAAAAAAATCTAGAATTTGTAAACCCATCTCATGATTTTTGGGGGCCTGATGCATGATTTATGAATGCCTGGGATTGGCAATACTATTATTGTTTTCTTACTGCAAAAATAAACAGCATTCAGACAAAGAAATTGTTACTCACTCTAACTGTGCTTCTTCAAGATGTGATGCAGACACATACTCCACTTAGGTGTGCGTGCGCCCAGTGTGCCAGAGCCAGAGACTTTTGCTGAGCAATACCTACAGAGGGGTGGCACTTGCCATAGGTGCCGACTTCCCCTCTGCCCGGTGGGTGCTTGACTCGCCCTGACCCCATTCCACCCCTTCCCCAAAGTCCCCATCCCACCCCTTCCCCAAAGTCCCCGCCCCTGCCCCGCCTCCTCCCCTGAGCGTGCCGCATCCCTGCTCTTCTCCCTCCCTCCCAGAAAATCCTAAGTGCCGCCACAGAGCTGTTTGGTGGCATGGGTGGAAAGGGCTGGGAGGGAGGGGGAGGAGCAGGGACACAGTGCGTTCAGTGGGGGAGGAGGCGGCGAGGGGGAGCTTGGCTGCCGGTGGGTGCGGGGCACCAGCTAATTTTCACCAGCTCCAGCCCCAGAGTACCCACAGAGTCAGCACTTATGGCACTTGCGCCTCATGGTCGTCTCTCTTCCCCTGACTATATGTGAGGCAGCACCATCCCGACCCCACTCAGTTCCTCTGCAACAAAAGCCCCTGAGAGGAGACTCTGATGCGGAGAGGACAGAGGATGTGTCATGGAATACACATTTGCATCACATCTCAAAGAGCTACAGTTACAGTAAGTAATGGTTTCTTCTTTGAGTCGATGCAGATGTGTAGTCCACTTAGCTGTGTAGTCAAGTGACTCGTGAGGATTCCCCAGTCTGGAGGCAGGGCTTGGAGTCTACTGCAATAGGGATCACAGGACCACCCTTCCAAGGTCTGTGTCCGCTCTGGAAGATGCGGTAATAGCATAATGGTCTGTAAATGTATGTATGGACGACCACATGGCTGCCCTGCATATATCCAATATGGAAATGTCACCGAGGATGTCACTGTTGATGTTGCTTCTGCCCTCGTGGAGAGAGCCCGTATCCACCAAGGAGGCATAGCCAAAGCTATCTCATACACAGCTTTGATACAGGATGTTATCCCTCTAGAGATGGTCTGTGCAGAGACCTCTTGGTCCCTTTATGCGGTCCGCATAAGACACGAACACAAGCTGTGGGTGTGATCACAGCATTGCCTTATCCTTGGAGAACTGAGTGTAAGGTGGCTCAGCCATTAGGGCCTGCAACTCTCATACTCTTCTTGCTGATATGATGGCTATCGGGAACATGATTTTCTGAGACAGGAGGGGCAGTGGGTAGGATGCCCTCTGTTAGAGCCCATCAGAGCTGCAAGAACTTTGTGTAGGTCCCAAAACAGAACCATGTTTTTGGACCGGAGGATGTAAGTGGAGAAGCCCTTTCAGAAATCTGATCACCATGGCATTGGAAAAAACTGACTTCCCTTGTATCAGGGGATGGAACACTGATATTGCTGCCAAATGCACCTTCAGTGAGCACAAGGCCTGATTTCTGAAGATGTTACAGGTACTCCAAGATATCCTGGATGGAAGCATCTGTTGGTTGGGTCCCATGGGCCAATGACCACACCAAAAACCTCTTCCATTTTGCTAACTGGACCGTGCTAGTGGAGGACTTCCTACTGTTGAGTAGGACTTTTTGGACAGCCTCTGAGCACTGTTCTTCCTCTTCATTTAGCCATGCAGCAGCCATACTGTGAGGTGCAGGGAGCTGATTGCAGGATGGAGGGTGCAGCTGTGGTTCTGAGTGAGCAGATAGGGATGGAGAGGAAGCAATATGGGAGGCTGAATTGACAGAGGAAGGAGATCTGAGAACCAGCACTGTCTTCGCCATGCTGGAGCAATGAGGATGAGCTTGACCCAATCTGCTTTGAGCTTTAGGACGACCTCAGGAATGACTGGAGTAAGTGGAAAGGCATACAAAAGATTCAGACAACCAGCTGCAGTGAAAGGTATCTGAGAGGGAGCCCCAGCTGAGGCCCTCTTGAGAGCAGAATAGTCGATGTTTCCTGTTTTCCCTTGTCACAAACAGATTGATTGTGAGGCTGCCCCATGTTGCAAAGATGACCTGGAGAATACTGTCCTTTACTCGTGGCACAGGGAGAAAACCCTGCTGAGATGGTCCATAAGACTATTTTGAACCCCTGGAAAATGGATTGCTATTGGGATGATGTCTTCTTTGATGCAAAATTTCAACAGGTTGATCACCTTCAGGCAGAGTAACCTGGAATGCACCGCCTCTTGCTTGTTCACATAGTACATCATGGTAGTATTGTCAGTGAGTATGTGAACCAATGAGTGTCTGATGCGGTCCTGGAAGGCACAACATGCATTGTGGATGGCCCGAAGTTCCAGCATATTGATATGAAGTGAGGCTTCCTGTTCCAGCCACAAGCCCTGCACCCTCCATGAGTCCAGATGCGCCCGCTAACCCAGAAGGGAAATATCAGTAACCACTGACTTAGTCAGAGAGGGCAGAGTGAAGGGGACTCCTTGGCACACATTGCATGGGGACTCCCACCAGCACAAGGAATTTAGGACTGGTTGAGGAAGGTGAATCAATCTGTCCAGGTAATGCAGGGCAGAGGAGTAAACCATCCTGAGCCACATCTCAAGAAGGCGCACGCGCAACCTGGTGAACTTGACCTCTTGTGTGCAAGTGGACAT